CAATGAAATGTTTCCATGCTTTTCTTCATCCAAAATTGTAAACATCAAGGAGAAAAATATGGACTTTTTCTAAAAATATTATTTCTTCATGTCATGTTGCCAGATTGTACTTGGGTTGTAAGAGGCACCATATCCTTTCAACATAGTCTAACATATAGCCTATGAATTCTTTTATTACAAAATACATTTCTCTCCTCTAAAAGTAAAACAAATAATTTTCCTGATGTTGATGTGGAATAAAGCTGGCTAGACTTGCTTTCCTATAAATCTAGATTAGTTTTGTTTTCATAAAATACATATATTCCACAGTCATGGTGCAGGACTACACTTCAACACGGACATTTGTTATATCAATTTGTGAACTGCAATGAAAATATTGATCATTCCATTACAGAAAATTACAAGTATTATCCCCCCGAATAAGTTCCCACTTTCCCTCCTGTGATGCTATTCCCTGTACACTAGAAACAGTTCACAGATAAAGTTGATGAGTATTTCCTAGACCTTAAAAACCATCACCAGATCATGAACTTAGGTGTCTTTGATCCTAGCTTGCGGAGTCATATCTCCCAAGTTTATTAGTGGACCTGTTTGGTCCATATTCTGTCTGATGTTGCTGTGCCAACATATGTACACTACCACCACCATGTATTCATCTACCAGGAGCCACAAAGATCCGGGTTCGAATTGGTCCATGCTTTTCGTAAGAGGCGACCAACGGGATCTTGTGGTCAGGCTCGCTGACTTGGTTGATACATGCCATCATATCCCAGTTGCGTAGATCTATGCTCAAGATGTCAGTCAGTGGATTGTCTGGTCCACGTGCCATTATTTACAGACAGCCATCACATAGCTGGAATATTGCTGACAGTTTTCATTTCAGTTGGTTAATGTGACAAGCATGATTCTCATCATGCCAAGGAATTCCCAAAAGCTACATATAAAACCTTTCTTACTCATCTTAAACAAAATACAACATTTCTAACTCCCCCATAGAAAGAGTTAAGTACTGGCCTTGGGACTTTTCCTCTCCGAAAAGCAACTTGTGTAACTTCAAACCTGAGTTTTGCAGTTCAAAAGGTAAATACTTTGTGCCGTTCCACACAAACCTGACTGAAAAAACTTGCTTGTCCCATACAGCGGACAGATTGAGTTCAAACCTGTGATTCCATTGTAAAGATATTCCCAGTGTTTCAACATCCTCATGTTTTCGTGTAATCAGACAGCAGCCCATCCAAGTCGGGGGGGGGCTGGGGCATATAATGAGACAAGTGGCCCCCAACTGGCAACGTGTCGATTGTGTTGCCTCTCATGCCTCATTCTCAGCCTTTATGGTGGCTCTATTTGAAGAAGCCTACTTGCATGAAATTCAATTTAGAACGGGGAGAAAAGTAAAGTGTACATAGTCTGTGACTTAGAAAGAAGATGTAAATTAACTCAGATGCATTTATTTGTTGAGAAAGTGTTCCAGCGTAACACATACCTCCCTTCAAACTCTTCTCTTTGCCAACAGAAAGTACTTAACCCTATGGCAAATGCTACGTCATTTCACTATTATCCTATCTCTGGAAACTAACTAGGATAGGCTCCAATCTTTAGCTACACAAACACAGTTTAATCGTCATGGTAATTAGGAAGCTTCTTTTCTGCTTCCCTTGACTAAGATGTAATTTGGTAGAAACATCTCAGGAAATTGTCTTTTTTATGATATTCATGAACCGAAATACATAATTTGGTGAAAAGTGATATTCTGTCAATATACCCTAAACCGATAACAGCGCTTTTTGTAATACATATTAAATCTAAAATCCTCACACAAGAATGTCTGGGAATGTGACAAATCTCAACTCTTCTAAAACCAATTTCACATTGAGCATATGCATAAACAGTAAGCTGCAGAATGAATGAGCAGGGAAAGAATGGTGTAGCTGAAGCCTAAACCAGTTTGCCCAGCGTGGAGCTCTGACTGTACATGCTGTAGACACAGCATGGCTGCTGCAGCAGCTGTGGTCATCAGTCATGCTGCAACAACATTGTGACAGGCTCAGCTCCTGCATCAAGTCAAGTCAAGGTGCCAGTTTCCCATACAGACATCCTCTTAAAACATTCACTTTTGTTTGTTTGTTGTTTAACGCCGCACTCAGCAATAGTCCAGCTATATGACAGCGGTCTGTAAATAATCAAGTCTGGACCAGACAAACCAGTGATTGACATCATGAACAGTGATCCACGCAATTGGGATCGATGACAGGCATCAACCAAATCAGCGAGCCTGACCACCCGATCCCATTAATCACCTTTTACGACAAGCATAGTCGCCTTTTACAGCAAGCATGGGTTGTTGAAGACCTATTCCACCCCGGATCTTCACAGGTCTAAAACATTCAGTAACTCACCAACTGTTCCCTGACACATCGGGAACATTGCTGACTGCGGCATTTAACAACATTCACTCTTTGCTGAGTGAGTGAGTTGGGTTTAATGGTGCTTAGAACAGTATATCAGTTATATCACGGTATGTCAGATTAATGTGGGAGGAAAGCCTGAAGTGATGCAGTACTCAAACCATTTTGGTGAAACCCACGAGTACGGGTATGGTGCTGACAAACCCAGAAATATAATCGAGACAAACCGGGATTCAAATCATAGTATTCTGGCGTGCCCACGGGATTTGACTTTCCACAGTGAATTGCAGCGCTATAGATGAGTGGGACACACGTGTCCCTATGATGTCATCAACTTTGGATAAGACATTCTAACTCTATGAAATTTGGAAATATATATACAGGACATTTTGGATGACAGTGTCAGTGTCCTATAAAAGTAACTCTATGAAAAGGTACCTATTATGACCAGTGCTGATTATTAGCTATCCTGTTTCCTACTAATCTTGACTTAGCTAAAAAATACATAATGATGATAAAATATTTAGAATGAACAATGTTAGATACTGTCTGATTTATTATTTCATTTTACCACACGGCAGCCTTTCCATTTGGTCACCTTGTGAAAAAACAAAACACATGATGTATTACAGCACATTAGGAGGTAATCTAAGCACATGTTGACCATCACAGCACATAGTGTACAGCACCAAAACACATGAAACATCCAAGCAATGATGTGGGCAGCACTAAGCTGGTGAAGCACAGTGGGACAGAGGACATTTAACATCAGTGCAACTGCAACACACTCCACAGAAACAAGGACTTTGTATACTAGTGTGCACTAATGTTGGACTACATCACTGTATACATCAGCTGTCCCAGGGGATCTGCTGTATTTAAGGTTTCCTGTAGATTAACATTTACTCCTATAAATAAAATTATCTTATTTCAAAATATACAAATGTAAAAACAATTAAAGACAGCCTGATTTTCTCATATTACTGAAGTTAATCTGTCATGCCAAGACAAGTTAACTATAGTAATAGGAGAAAGAATCAGATGGTCCTTTACTTTTTTTTAGTAGTATACATATCCACAAAATAAATACAAATGGAGCCCAGAATAAAGGTTAATTCAGTGAGGCAAACTAGACTTGCCAAATCATTCTAGACATTAGTTGGATTCATTTATTAGTTTATTCTGTCGGAGCTGGGAGACAGGCTAGGTTTCCTGCAATGTAATTGAATCTTGGGATCATCTAATGTGTTTGTTGTTTAACGCCGCACTGAGCAATATTCCAGCTATATGACAGCGGTCTGTAAATAATCGAGTCTGGACCAGACAATCCAGTGATTGACATCATGAACATCGATCCATGCAATTGGGATCAATGACAGGCGTCAACCAAGTCAGCAAGCCTGACCATCGGATCCCGTTAGTCGCCTCTTACCACAATAATAGTTGCTTTTTACGGCAAGGATGGGTTGCTGAAGACCTATTCTATCCCGGATCTTCACAGGTCAGGGGACCGTCTAAAACATTAGGGTCATGACAAGGACTCCTTGTCTTTCCTGCCTAATTTAGAACACTGACCACTCTGTACCTTGGACTACTAGCCAGAGGCAGGAGTCTAGTCAGATTACAATGGGGCTAGCAAACCTACTAATAGAGCTCATCTGTTCAAAAGTAAGCTAGTAAGAGCTCAGGGGTTTAAAAGCAAACTCAGATTATTCTGATTAACTGGTCTGTAGCCAATTTGAGCAGGATTACTTTAGTCAAGCAAGCTTAGACATATACTACTCAAAAGAAGTTAAAGAGTGCTCGATTCTTTCATATTACTATAGTTAATCCGTCATGCCCTGACAGATTAACTATAGTAATATAAGAAAAACACCAAACGATGAGTTTGGGCTAGTGAACTCGATAGTCTTTTTTAAAAGCAGTTTTACCACAGGCATGGTGCTACTAGTAGCTAAAGTGATGGTGTACATAATTTCTTCATGATTAGCACATATATTTTTCATTATTGAAATCCCCTTAAACAAGCAATGTGGTGCTATGCACAAAAAGGTAATAAGCATGTAGCAAGTTCACGAGGTCTGTGCTTTTTAACCATTAACCCAAACATAAATCGTACATGTTCTAGTCAAGTTAATGTTCCAAAGTTCTCATGCAAAAGAGCAGAATGTGTTGACAAGTATGCTAGTGAATTAGTCTAGGCTAAAGGCTAAAATGTTTTTCTGCCAAACTAAACTAGTCAGTCTAGGCTAAGAGTTTGAGTCTAGCACAACGAGTATCTGATCTACACTGCGACAAGTGCTAGCATACGAACTTGAAGCAAAGCCTCAGTGCAAGACAGGCATGTGAGTACTGTTGGAACAAAGGTGTCTTGAAGCCTTAGTGTCAGCTGAAACAAGCAAGAAGCTTGGTGTTCTCACACCTTGGTGCCATGTGTTACAATCATGTGCCATGTGTTACAATCATGTGCAAGCCAACAAGAGCAAGTGAACATAGCAGCAATCAACGTGCAAAATGTGAGCGAACGTGCATGTTTGGCCGCGTCCATGCTGTGGCAACGCCGATGCTGTGAGCAGAGAAAGGTGAAGGTCTTACCGAGGTGGGCGGTGTGTCTGTCCCTATACTGACTAGAATGATTATGTCGCGAGCTCCGGCTCGAGGGGCGGTCTAACACAACCAAAGAGAGAGAGAAAGACAGGTCAGTCTCATGCTACAATCAAATTAAATAACCATACATGTGATATATAGGAGGGTCCAGACAGGTAAGAGGCCAAAAGTCTGGAAATATTTCTGTATGTTATGACAGTTATACATCATAGAGCTGGAGTATATATAACATATAGGACAAATATTTTTTTCTCTCTGACCAAACAATATCATTCTTCAAGGAGGAAATGAAATACAATTTACTTTGGAATATGAAGCTGGTACAATTTGAATCATAAGAAACAATACATCTAAATGCAACATATTTAATTAATTCCACACTACTCTCTGCCAATGAGGAATCTCACAGAATCCAATGAGGGAGGGGGCAGTTTTGTGGTATCACATGTATGACCCTGTTAAAAACAGATAATGTCATGTCATGCATCATTTCTGGTCACATCAAAACTGAAAGAAAAGAAATAAATAAGCTACAAAGTCAACTTACCCATGCATTCATAATAAAACGTAAGTAAAAGCAAGTTGAATATTAAAGTTATTTGTGTTGGTCTGGCTTGGGTCATGCAGAGCTATCAGAGATCAAGAGGAAGAATAGAAATTGCTGGAACAATGTAAATCATTTTCGTAGTATTCTGTTGCAGAGTAAGAGAGTAAAACTTGGGTTTACAGCTGCCTTCAAATGACATGGTATGGATCTGACAATCTTATCAGGACAAATATATTTAGCAAACACATCCAACTGAAGTACTTCATTTTATAGAAGATTTTCTTTCACAAAGGGGCATAAACTTTACAAATAGTTTTAAATAGCTGTGAGATTGCTTAGAAGAAGGGTCAAACATTTTATCAGATGTAAGCAAAATTATGCAAAAACAATCTTGGTTTGAAATGCAAGTTTAGAACTTGGAAATTAACCGTAATTTTCACTAGTCGACTAAATGATCTGAACAGAGTTGCCATCTATCGTATGGTAAAAGTGAAAGTCCACAATGAAATGTCATTGGTCCGTCCTGAATCTTACTAGTCATGGACTAATGGACTTTTGCTATTTCCAAACCCAGAACTGATCCTTAAGCAACCGTTATGCCATGTTTTTATGGAATCTTTCCTGATATCCATATTTGTAAGCAATACCTCACAGAAATAAGCCAAAGTCTTTTCATGTCAGTTCTACAATAGCATCTTTCAAAATGGCCACCACTTGATGCTATCTGGTGGACAACTAGTGACATGTGGTAAGCAGATCAGGCCTCCTACCAGACAACTACTTCTGATATGTATCCTTACGCACTTCCTATGACAGGAACCACATCAATCAAGAATCAGTACTAATCAAGCAGCCATTAATATTCATTAAAAAGATCAGCCAGTCTCAAGCAGTTTGTCATCTCGACAGTCCTCTCGTTACCATTTGTCTGACTTCAAAGCTAAACGAGTTCCAGTACCTGATGCATATTTTGTGCTGAAAGGAAACTTAACTAAAAAGATATGATTTTGTTTGAAGCATAATTACATATATGTACTGTAACTTTTCCCTTCAATTCAGCTCTATTGCATTAAAATGCTTTAACCAACTTTCAAAACCTGGCCATCCGGAATGTGTGGCAATTCATCTGGTGTGTGTTAAACAAGAAATAGATGAAAAGAAACATTAACAATATTACTGCCCACAAAAGATCAAACAGGAGTCAAAGAATATCCATTTTCACGCCTTCACATTCAGCTGATAATGTGTCAAGTTACATGTTCTAACATAAGCGTTGTCTATTCAGCCTTGGGCTGTTGTCACTCTCATGCTCTCTGTAATTTTTCTCAAAGGATTACCAGAAAACCTAGCTTCTGTTTCAAAGATGTTCATCAAGTAAGGGTAGGTTAATTTTCCCAAACGATTTTTACTGAAACAAACCTTTGCAAATAACCAATTTACAAATGTTCCCAGTTGTCCTGGGACGTGATTAATAACCATACTGAGTGAGGGAGTGAGGTATTACAGCTCTGGGCCATCAAAGGGCGATGGACACCAAGAATAGACTTCACACATGGTTCCCATGCTGGGAATACAATCCAGTTCCCTGGCATGACAAGCTAACACTTCAACCAAGAGGCTACCCCAACACCAGTTTGACGACAGGGTGAGTGATTCAATTAAGCCAAATCAGCAAATATCAAGCTCAATTTTACAAAAGATACTTCCTGTAAGAAAAGAGCACATTATTCTTTATGGATTTGCAATAAATTCCAATACTTTGAATCTTGTGCTGTACCTGGGATTGCCCAGCAGTTCACATACAAGGTTTGAAAAAGAGAATGTCTTCCAGTTTTCAAGCGCAACAGAATAATGCTTCTAATCCAAGAGTACTCAATGTCTCCAACAGGCTGCCCTTTAATCTGATAAAGATAAGCAAGATAAGAATACTGACATGTCATTTTTTACCAAGCTAGACACCTCACTGATAAAACCACTAGTCCTGGGCTATTCCACAAGTGATCTCAGCTCTAAGACGATCATATCTCCCAAAGACTTATGACAATCATAGCTTTAAACTAAGTATGCAGATTGCTTTGTGGACTGGGACTGACCACTGTCTTGTAGACACAGTGATCTGAATAATTTTGTGACCAATGAAAGCATAGTTACTTCCTTTCATTCACTGAAATCGAAATCACGCACAATAATCTGAGACGAATCGTGTCTTGATTCAGTTGGAATAATGCAAACAATTACTTGAGAATCTACCAAGAATACTGAATACATAAGTAGTCTTTAAATTATCTCCCAGACAGTCTGGCAGATGGGGGCAAATTTCATGCAGCCCGACAGAAAAGTCACCAGCCGTGGGCTGGTGGGCAGGCAGTTATTTCGGACATTGTGTAGATAGCGTATTTGTCAAACCCTACCATATGAGTGAGTTATGTTCAACACTGCTTTGAACTGTATTCCAGTTACATCACGGCATGTCAGCTTAATGTCGGGGTGAAAGCCCGAAGTGATGCAAGTCTCAGACGTTTACCACTTTGTTGAAACCCACAAATACGGGCATGGGGCTGACAAAACTGGAAACATAATCACAGCGATTCGAACCTATGCTAATAGGGACCCATGCGCTAGGAACGCAACTCTGCACCGTGAATTGCGGCGCCATAGTCTGGGCCACCCGTGCCCCATGGCTCCTTAAAAGACTGGGCCACCCATGCCCCTCTCGCCTTGCCATATGACTAAGAGCAAGCAAGGCTATATCTTTGCAAATGGTTCTTTATGTATTTAGAATATGGTTACAAATTTGCAAAGGTCACCGGACTGCCTGTCTGCTGGATATATATATACATATACACATGTATGCTCTTAGATATTCATCAAGATCTACAGACAGGCTTTGTCTCAGTATGGGGTGAGGGCATCAAAGTAAGACAGGAATCCTCTACAGGGATCCTAGGTTAAGTTTGAAGTCGGAAAGATCAAAGGCATCGTTCACCTGTTGAGTCGACAACAACTTGTGTCTGAAGACACCACTCTCTAACGGAATGGTTCCAGTCAATCACTGTGGCAATATCAGCCATACATTTACTGGGCATCAACAAACATATGGTCTACGTTTCTCTCGTTGTAACCGTATGACAGTAAACTTGGCATACAGGAGATCTTTAATCTGTCGTCAGTTCATATACACCTAATCATCATCATAACAGTAAGGCCATATGAAGAACCTCTGTATGCAAAACGTCCCTGGACTAACTGTCAATACCTTATAAACTTAACATTATTTCCTCATATCATGGGTTGAACATGAGGGGGTAAGTGACTAGGGCTTCAGGTTGCTGAGAACAGTATTTTAGTCCCATCATGTCAGCTCCATGTGGGAGGATTGCTTCAAGTGATACAGGCTGCAGACACAAAGTCCTTGGATGAAACACATGAGCATGGGTATGTTAGTGACAGACCAACATAATGAATGTGCAAAATCTGGGTTTCAAACCCATGATCAGCTGATTCTGAAAAGAGAGACAATTCTACACGCCAGCTTTTGGTGCTTAAGACCACTGGGTCACAGGTGCCATCTACATAGCTGCCAACTTTCCCAAATTACAATTAGTATTTTGTTCCGTTGTTCTGGTCGGGGCACCAAAGCCTCATGATAGTGTGATTCCGAAACTTGACCACAGCAGTTTCTGGTAATACGAGTGGAGTGTCTCGATTGGACGGATGTAAAACTATAAATAGACTTCACACCAGTTGATAAACAAAAGGAGCTTGTGTTTGCAGCAGACAGTGTAAGGCCTAACAAAACAAGGTTCATACAGACGTGGAACACCAAAATTCAAGGCCTTTTCAAGGCTGCTAACGGTCATGTTCAAGGCTATATTAGTCGCAAGACCTAAAAGCAATATTTATTTTTCACCCAACAAAACATAAATTAACTATAATAATAATTGTCATGAATTCTTCAGGCACACAAATCTACCAATGTGATAAATCTCAATTAAGCATCTTTGGTACATATTTCTGTGTGCTTTCATACTTTGATTAACAAGTTTATGTAAATTTGTACAAATTCAAGGCTTTTAAAGTTAATTTGGTGATTTTTAAGGCATTTCGAGGTTTACACTAAAAATGAAGGCTTTTTCAAGCTTGTTCCAACACTGCAAAATGACCTACAAATTTAGGAATAAATCACATTTTGTATATTTGTTGCACATTCGTAGCCAATATGAAACATTCGGACAACTGTCAGCTATGCATACAGAACACTTTATTTCATGCACTATCTACACTGAAAAAGTGAACACAATTAAGGAAAGCATTGACAGGCAATAATGATAACTTGAAGAATTTTCCCCCTCCCCTTCACTATTAACGATACACCAGACACTAACAGTTTAATCTGTTCTACTGATAGAAAGCACTTCCATTGAAAACAGCTGTAACATTTTTTCTACTGTTGTTTTGCTGGGTGTTCCCTTTCTTTTCACCATCAGCATATCAACAGCTGTGTAATTAGGAT